GAGTTAACATAAAGAGACTTTTCGAAAAAAATAACGAAAGATTTTTTTTTTGCGGTAAATCTAAAATAAGTCTACTTAATTATATTGTTTACTAAATCAGCTGATTCGTCTCGCTAAATGCCCGACGTTAGGCGCTTATTTTAGATTTACCGCAAAAAAAAAACTTTCGTTATTGTGACTTTAAAATTCACTTTAAAAAACAGAAATTAGGTATACTTTTTTTCGGTGAACTAATATATTTATTTATTTTTTCTTTATATAATTAACAGTTAACGGTGGGCCATAGGCATTCTCTACCAGTCAACCAGTAAGGTTGTAGGAGACGAATGTTATGGCGATAGAATAGAATGATCACTAAAGTGAGAAATCTACTACTTAACTAACTAGGCGATACCATAATAACATTAAATACTTACTTTATTTAAATAAAATACACATACATATACATACATACAATATATAATATATCACTAAATGGATAAAAAAATAAGACGATTATTTCATAGCATTATACGATGAGTAGGGGAGGTTATTATATCAGGCGGTCTATATTTGCCCCCGATATTTGGCAGGGTGGCTAATCCCATCTGCAGCATCATCATGCCATCCGGTCATAACATCAGATAACTGCCATTACGACCGATCAGGCACGAATCGATTAATACAGTTGACCGAAAGAAAAGATTAATTCGCTATAAACAAATTACTAATTTTTGTATGCAATAATAAACTGGCTGGAAGTATAAATCCAAGTTTCTATATTAAAAATTAAGGCCGTAGGAATAAGACAGCGTTTATCCAAAAACATCATTGAAAATTAAATAAGATAAAGTTAAAGTGAAACCAGTTCACTAGTGATTGTTTTATTGCTCGAAATTAAAATAATTTTCACGGAACACATTCTACCTTGACAGTCATGAAAACTGATCTGAATTAGTTACATAACTGTCAAATAACTATATTCTACTATATATATATATATATATATATATATATATATGTCCAATCGATGTTCAAAGATTTATTTAAAAAACACTTTTGAAACTTTTAGCTCCCCGCAACCATGTACGTGTCTAATGGAAATAACAATATTTCCCTGAGATTATTTCAAAAATTTACCCTGAGTTTTCCTGTTTGTAGCAATAAATTACATATACTTAAGCAGATAGTTATCAAATTTTATGTTGGAATGTGCGGTATTGAAATTAAATAATTCACATTTTTTTATTATTTATGCAATCATTTCTTCTTCGTGAAATTGTATACTTTCAACAAACATTCAAGAATGGGTCTTTCAGAAACTTTTTGTATTAGGACCAAGTAATGCTCAGGCAACTCGCGCACTAGACGGCCACGGCCACGACCAGTGGCCGCAGAGACCAGATAAAGTGCCACTGCGTAAAGCGGGAGCACGGAGCGATCGTCCGTTGCCCGTGTTTGTTTCATTACATTTCATAGAGAAGCACTGCGAGGCGACAGGCCTCATGCAGCTGCTCTGCACACGGAGCGGATGTCCGCTTCGTGCTCCCACATAACGCAGCGCAGGCCTTGACTAAAGAAACCATACGAATGACACGCACTTGGCCGCAACGGCCAACTACAGTTAATCTGGTCGTTGTGGCGACTGGTCGTGGTCGTGGCCGTGGCCGTCTAGTGCACTAGGTGCCTTAAAGAAGGATTGGATAGTCTATCCAACACAATATATTTTGAATTGTTATTTAATTTTAGTAGCTACAAAAAGTTATTACAGTGTTATCGTAAAATTTTGTTGAATAATTACAATTTCACACACGTAGATGTAGTGAGTGAGTTTTTGTAGTAGATCTATTGAACCTATAATAATGTTGCTTTCACACTTTATTTAGGCATGGCCCCTTGATGAACTCTTATAGCAAGCTTCCGTCGTTCTAATCACTTGTCTCATATAAGTATTATAATGTGCGATCAATTTATTTAACGCTGCTACGGATTTAAAGGCCCACCCCGGCATCATTACCTCTGACAATCCGGTAAGATATCTGAGTACAAAGGGTGTTCTGTCATTTTATTCGCGTCATCCGGTTTTTTCATATTTATTGCAAAAAAAACGGTTCGTGTTGGCATATAGGTGAGATCTTAAAATTATGTTTACGTACGTATTGGAAATATTTCCTGTTGATTACCCAATACAAGAAATTCTTAGGCACATATTCATATCATTCAGATTATCGAAAAAATAGTAATTGATCCTCAAACAAATACAATTGGTAACCTATTCTTACCTTGTATATTTAGGTGATCATATATAATATTTTTATATGATCATTTTAAACAAATCCCAATATCTTATAGTATCGTTAATTCATTCAATCTTAATATTCTGGACTGCCACACTAGTCTGAGAACAAAAAAAGTTAATTATTGTCATTTCAACCGTCATTTGTTTACGGATAATTACTTATAAACGGGTGTTAAAGGAGCTCTATGGCGCAAGTGGTTAGCGCTGCGATCGTTGAAGTTAAGTAACTTTTGCAGTGGCCGACCTGCAGGAGTGGGGACTTTAATAGGCTGATGATGATGATGGGTGTTAAATATGGCGGTTCTGGTAGAGATATTTAATTAATTAGGTACAAATATGGAACAAAAAATATTTTATGTGCCATTCATTTCTAGAGTAAGTGCTTTAAACAAATGCAAATAAAAAAAATGTGAATAAAGTTGTCGATTTGACAACAAGAAAGAACCATACGCGTCATGTTTTATAAAAAGCGTAGATATTCTTACACCTTTGGAGGGTACATACTCAAATTACTCAATACCTATTTTTTTTAACTTAGGCATTTTAATCACATAAGCTTTAAGCCTCTCAGAAAATATCGCATAGGTCGCTGCGTATTCAAAAACGTATCTCACGAGCAATAAATTACATATTACAAGCAATTTAATCCAGCTGGTGACAAATCTGATTTATGATATTTTTCCCTCTTGTATGGATTCTATGACTTGTCGCAAGTCTCGTCAACATTTCATCATTTTTTTAATTTAAATGCTTTATGACAAAGCGATTATTTACTAACCAAAGTATCGTAATAACTTTGACTACGGATTTGCTACGACATATATTATCAAGACTACGAATAGAGAATTTAATATAGCCTTATGCTACGTAACCTCGTAGCTTGAAATAGGAAAGGTTTCTTTACTTATGTGGTTCTACTGTAAAATAAGTTTTGCTAATAGATATTATGATTGCTGCAGTGCTATTCTGTGGCGTGATTTGAAATTCATATTCTAATTTCAAACAACCCCGCGAAAAAGAAATTGACATTCTTTTTCTTACCCACTAATTCGAGGCATTCTTACATCTACACAATAATTAAACATATTTTACCTTTATAATATTTTTATTAAATAAATGTATTGTATCTCATCGTGCATGTTCAACGGCTCCTCTTTATCTAATTGATTAATTAATCATACCTGTACTGTTCGCGTTTATTTCTCCATTATAGCCAGGATTAATTAAAAATCTGATTAGGTACAAAATATATCATGGAGCCTTATTAAATCAACCGGGATAGTGTTCTATCGATACCTATATCGATATGCAAACACAAAAAAGCGTCCATAGCTTTATCAGTGAAGTAATGTTTTTGTACAGCGTAACAATCTCCGAAGTGGTGCTTATGACATTTTTGTAATATGGCAGGTTCAAAAAAAATATTCAAAATTCAATATCGTTTATTCAGTCTAGGCTGTTACAAGCACTTGTGAATGTCGAAAAGCTACGCCATCGGTTCGCAAACCTAAGGCGGGAGACCTTGTACTGAGAAGAACCGGCAAGAAACTCAGCAAGGGCTGTTTTTTTCTCCCTGTATTATATACAGAGTCGTCCAATTGAAAAATGACTTCAATATGAGGTAACTCATAAAGTCACTTTCCATTACTAAGGATAGAGTTACAAAAATCACACTTTATGTAAAAACTCGTGATTGTTCAATTCAATATCGTTCTCTAATAGACTTTAATATGACTGAGTTTAGGTAATCACCATTTTGTATTCCTGAATAGATTATGCGACATTATTATATAAGTCTTCATTGCAAATACAACAACCTACTAAGAAATTAAGAAACGTAGCGTGTTTCTTAATTTCTTTTTGCTTATAAAATCATAGTTCTTTGTACAATCAAACAAATAGACGATTTAATAAGAAACTTTACAAAACCAATCTCTTGAAATCTTCGGTAATTAGGAAGAAAGAACATAATCGACGGAACTATAGGAAACTAGCATAAATAACATAACTAGCATAAACTATAATTCTTTTATAGTTTACGCTTTTTTTTTCTAGTAAACTTTTCTTTAGATTTAAACATCTAGCGGTAAATGCTTAAAAAATAAATAAAATCATAACTATAATTCTTTTTCTAATATGTTGCTAAAACAACCAGTAGTTCTAATAAACAGGATCCTTTCCAGAGCTTGGCATCACTATCATTATACTCATGGTATAGGTAGCGGTAAACTTCTTCAGCTAAACCACAGACAAAGAAACTTGCGTAGACTGTAGACGATTTTGTATTTAAAATTTGCTACTGCGCAGGCTTGCTTGTCCATAGTTTTTGCTCAGAAGTTTGCCGAGGTTTACACTTCTTGCTTACGATACTTCAATTTGAAGTAAAATATCATTTCTTCTCAAACAGTGCTTTGCCGGGGTGTATACTTTTGATATAAAACCCGGTGAAACTGAACTTCCTAGGCCCAAGAGGTGATACTTGTAATTTTTTGTTGAAACTGTCTCTATTAACGAATTAATTTTTACTGGCGCTTCGCCGACCGCTGCCGCGGCACGCTTGCTTTGCTCGCGCGGCTCGCGCGTTTTCGTCACAATACTAACCTTGCCTAACCTAGTATGAAGTATCACCTCTTCGGCCCAGGAAGTACTATTATATCCTCGAAACTCATTTCTAGCTCACGATACTTCGATTTGTAGTAAAACCTCATTTCTTTTTAATCAGTGGTTACCGCGGAGGTAGTAATAACAAACGTCGCGAGGTGAGGCGGTTCCTGTTGTACGGAGCTTACGCTTGGGGCGTCCCTCTGGTGCTGGCATCCTGCACTATTGGTATGCAGTTTGCCGACTTATCACCTGGCGTCGTCAAGCCAGGCATAGGCTCAAGACGATGCTGGTTCGAAGGTGAGTACATGATAAGATAATGAAATAAATATGTACAATTGTAGGTACACATTAAAACTATCTCATGGTTTTTTGAACCAAAATATTGTGGGTCGTCTACAATGCGTAGAGATGGCGCAGCCTAAGAAATACTAGAGAAAATTCGACACGGGCAATTAGGGCCGCGGTAGCATAATAATCAGTGCATCCGGAAATCCTCAATAGCGGATAGTGCGGGTTTGTGTCCTGTCCGCTGCATGGCCCGTGTGGAATCTTTTCTAGTAAAAATTTCCTTAAGATTTAAACAAAATAATTTACATATAAGATTTTAAACGCGCCCACTATCACAAGGTTACAACAGTGAAAATGAAAACCTTTTCGTCCTGAGACGTTTTGCTTGAGTAACGATCAAGGAGCCAACTAATACCTACATATATAAATATCGATTGAGTATATTTCGTTTTGATACGTTTGCTCTTAGGTAGGTATAATAGTTCTGGGAAATAGCTTATACTTCATTAGACCTCAATAAGGTGATGTCATTAATGGCGTTACTTTAATTAGTGTAAGGCTGATTTTTAACGAGACGATTTTCCCCCGGGTCTATGTACGGGTTTACACTGTGTCTACGTCCGGTTGCCAATTAGGTATGGCCATGGAGGTTTGTTAACGATACCAGGAGCTTTACTCTCTTTCTCCGAAACGAAATTAAGGTAACGAACGAATTTTAAACGAAATTTCGCCATTGACTCTACTCTATTTCATTTTCGAACAGGTATATAAACTTCGGAACCCCAAACAGTTTTCGTGAACGAATGGAATGAGTCATATTTGTGAGTTCTTTATCTAATATATAAAATTCTCGTGTCGCGGTGTTTGAGGTTAAACTCCTCATAAACGGCTCGACCGATTTTCTTGAAATTTTATATGCATATTCAGTAGGTCTGAGAATCGGATGTAATCTATTTTTATCCCCCTAAATGTTAAAGGTAATCCACCCCTAAATTTTTTTTTTCAATTTTACATATATATTTTTTTATGATACAATATTAGTAAATACATACAACCCTAAATTTTCACTTTTCTACCACCAATCCCTATTTTTTTATGGCGGTACGAAGTTCGCTGGGACAGATCGGACAACATCTATTTTTCATCCCCCTAAATGTTAAGGGTAATCCAACCCTAATTTTTTTTTCAATTTTAGATAAAAAAAAATGATACAGCATTAGTAAATACATATAACCCTGAATTTTCAACCCTTTACAATCAACCCCTATTTAACCATCGCGATTTTTATTTTTAATAATTTCTTTTTTTTTCTCAATTCAATTTGATCTTCCGCCTTCACCGGTCTATAACCGATCAACGATCAATCGATCAGTTATCCCCGCTAGATGTCTACCTGGGTGACCTCTCAGCCAGCAAAAATCACGGAGTAGGGATGAGAAGGAAGCCGGTCTCCTGTCTTCCTCAATATACAGTTTTCGGCCATTTTTTTGGTTTCATTTGTGTATCGATCGTAGCAGTGACTTATACGTATTATTTTAATTTTTCTGTGCATCTATTACGTTAATTTTACTCTCATCGTGAATTTATTATTAATTTCCCGTGCAATAATTATTTTTTCACATTTTATTAATAACTGATAAAGACAGTTTTAACTATTAGCCGAAACGGCTCGACCGATTTTCGTGAAATTTTATATGCATATTCAGTAGGTCTGAGAATCGGACAACATCTATTTTTCATCCCCCTAAATGTTAAGGGTGGTCCCTACTTAAACAATTTTTTTGGACCATCATCATACAAAAATACATACAACCCTAAATTTTCACCCTTCTACCACCAACCCCTATTTTTTTTGGGCGGTACGAAGTTCGCTGGGACAGTAGGTATTTCTATAGATATTCAATATACGGATGGTGACATTGTAATGCTCCATACCTTTATGAATAATTATAAAAAAAGTGGCTTCAGACTTTCTCATTTCAGAACCAATACAATATTAAAAAAAAAAGAACAAGCGCAAGACACAATAGAACCTGACGTAAGCAGTATTCGAAAATTTAAAAAAATCGAAAATTGAATTCCGTAGAATTAGTACAGTCAATCTGTAGGTTGAGTGGTGAAAAAAAAACCTAAAGGGTAAGTCTTGGTTTTTCTGTTGCCAAATGACGTCAGTAAGCCACCTTACCGATGGGCATGTTCAACTCGTAGGCGTTTTTTGAAAAACTCAAAAAAACCATCAAAAATATTTTTAAACTCATTTTTCTTGTTTTGTATGCATTTTCGAAACTTTTTTTTCGACCATAATTGTAGAGGGCGCTGAGTACTACAATTTATGTCATTGTTGCAATCTCGTACAACAAAAAATGCGCATTGTAGGTGGCGCTAAAGTCTCAAAAAAAGTGTTTTTTCACTTTTTCACCCTAAAAATATCATTTTAATGGAAAACTTTAAATGGAAAAGTTGTTCCGTACATAATTACTAACAACTTTTTTACCAACATTTACAAATATATAATAAAAAAATGGTTATTTGTTAATTTTACATGCATTTACATTTTTAAAATGTTTCTCGAGCTAAGCAACCTTGATTAAAAACACTCTTGCAAGCATTTTAGGCTTAATTAAAACAAAAATCTCAAAACGAAAATGAAAAGGTAACTTTTCATTTAATAGAATAGAATAGAATAGAAATCTTTATTGTCATGCTGAGTACAATGGTGTTACAAGTAATTTCTTAGTTCTAGGCAGCTGTCCGTTTCGGACGTACAATATTCATTATAGGTGGTAAATGCTATTAAAAATTTCGAAAATACTCTTTTAAATTATAAAAACATTTATCTATTAACCATTTCTTTAATTTAATTTTAAATTCCAATAAATTTAAATCTTTAATGTCATTGGGCAAATTGTTAAATATTTTAATTCCACTTATATAAGAGCTTTTGTCAAATATATAGCTAGTCGATAATGCAGTATTCATGTCATTTTTATATTGGGCTCGTATATTAGCTTTAGTCAGATTTTTTTTTCCAAAAATATTCGTCATGATTTTTTACAAACACACATATTTCAAATATATATATACAAGTCAATGTTAGGTATCTATATTTTATAAATACTGGTCTTACAGATTCAAGTGGGTCAATTTTATATATAATTCGCAAACACCTCTTTTGTAAAATAAATGTAGAATGAGCATTTACCGAATTACCCCAAAATATGATTCCGTATGTCAAAAGAGGGTATACATAGCCATAATATGCATTTCGAGCAACATCAATGGAAGTTATATTAGTCAATACTGATACAAGGTAACATTTACTAGATAATCTATTATTTATTTTATTTATATGTGATTTCCAATTGAGATGGGGGTCAATATTAATGCCTAGAAAATTTGTCTCATTAGCTTGCTCGATTTTTTTATTATTGATAACTATGTCAATTTCGTCAATTTGAGGTTAAAATTTCGAACAATTATCTGTCAATTTCAACTTTTCCTTCGAAAGTTTTGTGAATTAGAGTAGGCTTGGAGAATTTAATTGTCAAACTATTTTTGAACGTACGAATTTTCGAAATGAAATGGCAACAGAATAAGGAACGTGCGAAATTTCGATCGAAATTTCGTTTTTAGTTGAAATAGAGTAGACCTCCAGCTCAAGCGACGGCTAGGGATCGGTCCAAACGTACAAACCCGTGCTCGTGCACAAGCTTACCCGGCGTTACGCATACCTCACTGCCTTGGGAGTGCGGCAAGGTTAAGTGGGACTTCTCCCCTGCTCCTCTCGTCTCATCCATCCTCAGCCAGTCCGAGGGCTGGCTCAACGGCTGTTCAAGAGGAGAGGGGCCCTACCCACTAAAAATCTGACGATAACCCTCATCCACTACGGGATACGGTACGGACAAGTACGGGATCCACCATCAAGCTGCAACCCCCCAACGAGGCAGCGGCGCTGTGTGAGGCCATGGGAACCCTTACGGATACATCCACAGCCCCACCAGGAAGAAGCTTACCCGGCACCTGCCCGAGAAGAAATCAGGTTGAAATCGTCTCGTCAACAAGCGCCCTAATACCTCATTATCACACAAAAGTAGATGTCTATATTGATTTATTTCTACAGTAGAATTTTCATGCTCAGGTATGCCCGTAAAAGAATCGTAATTGACGATGTTACGAATATGATCGGCGTGCAAAGTATGCAGCATGTGTCAAGTTTCTGGATAATATTAATTGATTCTTCATTGCTGAATTTCGTCAAAGCTTTACCAAGACGTGGGCAGGCTTTTCCTCTACACTTGGTCTAATTCCCCTGACTTCGACTATACCTATGTTAATTAATTTAGGGAATTCGAAACCAACTGTAATGAGACTTACGTCATCATCATCAGCCTATTAATGTCCCCACTGGAGCGGCACTGGCCTCCCCTATGGATGGAATAGGGAGACTCAGCATTCACGCGGGGTCTATGCGTGTGTGATTATTGGGTGCTAACGACGGCTGATGCAGCTGGGTACGATATCTTCCGAAATACGGAGGAGTTCGAGATGGTAAATTTTTGGTCACCCATCCAATAACCGACCATTGCGGAAGTTACTTAAGTTTCACGATCGCAAACAGAATGCGCTAACCACCTGCGCCCACGAGCTCCTCTCGCAATCCCAATTACTTCATATTTTTGCTTAATTAAGGGATCGACTGCTATCAAATGCTTACAAATGTATAAAAATACTTGATAATCAAAAGACTATATTTACAGATGCAACAGACTAATGGTAATAAAAGGTACATCTTCGGCCTTAATTAATTACCAACGAAGTTAAAATTTAAATATTATTTGTCTATTAAACATACCTATTGCCTTATGGTTCTTTTAATGAAAACGACAAAGTAATTAGAGGCTGTTTGATATTTACTGCCCTAATTCAACGTTCGGGAAATCTTGCAAATATTTGCCCTCGCGATCGGTTCTCATCAATCCCGTGGTAAAAACGGCGGTCGTAAAACATTCAATTACACTGGAATCAGTATTTTCCTTAGAATATAAAAATATCCAATGAAGATGGTATTTTTAGGGTTTTGTACCTCAATCGGCAAAAACGGAACCGTTATAGGATCAACTGGTTCCTGTCTGTAAAAATCAATTTGTTTGGAACCGATCAAGTTTAAATTACTTAGGTACAGTAATTTAAACTTGATAGGTAATGTGCGTGAATACCTAAGAAACAAATATATATATTTCTTATTTATTTAAACGATTAGTTAAAAATTATTTAAGATAATATACCTGTCTCCCTGCCCCCAATTTTATTTCCGAAACTACTGAGTCTAAAAATTTGACACATACACAACGTTTACACAACACGAGAGTGAGAGAGAATTTCTGAAGTTTCGTTTTAAATTGAGAAATTTAAAACGAAACTTCAGAAATTCTCTTAGAAGGGAAACCTAAGGATATATTTATATATATAAATACTATTATCTAAATTTTAAGGTTTAGAGAATTATGCCCATTATATCAAACCACAGATGAGATTGCGTCTATTCTAAGGATTGGGTACATTTTATTTTCATCAGATTGGCTGGGTGAGCTGGTGTACTTCTTCATCCCGGTGCTGGTGCTTGTGGTATGCAACGTAGTGCTGTTCACAGTGACTTCGTACCGCATCCGGTCTATTCACCAGGAGACCGCCATCCTCAAGGGGTCGGAGTCAGCTAGAAGCGATAAGCTTAAAAGAGACAAGCAAAGGTAAAGAAAATTTTTAGAGAATAAAAATTTACATGTAGTGCCTCAGGCCCACTTGCAACGAAATTCTTAATTCAAAAAAAGACATAACCGTGTTTAATACGTCATTCTTTCTCTGTTTATTATTTAAAGAAAAAACAGATAGAATGAGGCTTGAGGAAAATTAAATAAACATCACGCTACGACGAGAAGGAGCGGAGCATCGATGAAAAATATTGCAAAAACGGAAAAAGATATTTCATTTGAGCGCTTTTGTTGCGTGCTGCGTGGTTAAAGTTACACAAAAATCATGTATGTATGATGGAATTGTTTCCCTTTAAAATTTCTATACAAAAGTCCGCGACAGCATATGTCCATCTTTTAAGTTTGACTCACTATATCCTTTTTACTCAAATCACACTTTTAGGCGACACGAAGTTCGCTGGGTTATTATGTAACTTATAAAAAAAAGGACTAGACAAAACAGGTTTATGGGGATAACTATCTATTAGTAGCGCGTCAACGTCCAAATTAATGAACAGATATGGCTTCTAAATTAATAAGGCTAGTTCTCTTATTGACTCTCGTCATCGAATTTCCCCCTCCCAATGCCAAATGTGGCAATGTTTGAATTGAATACCGACACAAAATTACACTCTTTATTGGTTTTCGTATCATTAGTTTATTAAGTATATGGTTTACTTCAATCAAAGGTGGTTTATTATATTTTTAAGAAATTAACTGCTCGATTTGTAATAGAACAAATTTAGCAGCCCAGCCGTGCGATTCTGTAAGAATAACCTCACTTTTCACCGCGGAATCCGCGTGTGATTTGAATTTTGTGTTCTAATTCAATATCTGCAATGGCCGGTCATTGGATGGGTAACCAAAAATTTACTATCTCGAGTGCCTCCGTACTTCAGAAGGCACGTTAATAAGAAAAATTTTAGCGGTCCAGCCGTGCTATTCTGTAAGAATAACCTCACTTTTCAACGCGTAACCCGCGTGTGATTTGAAATTAGAACGACTATTTCGATTTCCACCGCGGAATCCCCGTTGAAAAGTGAGTTTGGACTTACAGAGCAGCACTGCAGGTTTCAGACACGATTTGAACCCGCACCTTCCGCAATACGCGGTGCGTCCGCCCGGATTCCTGAAAGTACCTCTAAGGAAGCCTTAGGGCTACCTACGTTCCATAATAGTTAAAGATAGACACTAAAACACAAGCGTAGATGCTAGTAAATAAATTAAAAGAAACTTTATTTCCAAGGTACGGCTTATACCTAAAGCTATTCGTGGTGATGGGCGTGAACTGGTCGGTGGAGCTGATCAGCTTCGCTGTAGGCGGCTCCAACTGGTACTGGATCCTGGTGGACATCTCCAACATTGCGCTTGGCTTCTTCATATTCTTCATCTTCGTCTGGAAGAAGAAAGTTCGCAATTTGGCCGCGAAAAGGTAAGCCTGTTTCAGTTATATTTAATAGTTACTTATGTGGTGAGAAGCTTGATGAATGAAACAAAAAGAAATCTGCAAACACAGATTTTGAATTAACACACAATGTCGTGTGTTATGGACCAGGAGATTAATGCGAGCATTAATTATAATGTGAAATGTCAGCTCAAATTGGTTTATGTGATAAATAATTATTATGACGGGGATATATGTAATCTTCCATACTCGTTTTCATGTTCCACAATGATTTTATATGTACACCATCTTTTCTATGGGCGAAGCGCATCATCCTGAAGCTTGGTTAATCCAATTAATTAAATAATAAATATAATGGTATTAAAGGAGATTGCTCAAATTGGCCCAAATGTACAAAAAATATTGACATACACGGTAATTTTTGGCGTAATTTATACTTTATTTTACAGTCATTAGATTTTAACGGACACCTTTGTATAATAAATTCATTTTAAAAAGGACTTTTAATTTTAACGGTTTGGAAAACATACGAATCATTTTTAATGACTATGGTAACATTCAGCCAAAGACTGATCGAAGTTGTTTATATAACATCAAAACAAATCTATTTTGTAAAGATCTTTTTTTGTTATTACACTGTGGTATTAATATCCACTACTATATTATCATTTTCACTACATGCAAATGTGCTAAGACAATTATTATAGATAGAAGGCGACATAATAAAGTCTATTGCCATATATTTTTCACCAAACACCTCCTTAAATACTTTAATAAGTAAGTAGTAATATACTAAAAATCTAAAATATGGTTATAATAAAAACATAACAAAAATAATGGTGGATTATTAACCACTAAGTGTTCGGGAACATGCACAAGTGTTGGCAAGTGAAACAAAATAGCGGAAAGTGTCTTTCGACGTTCCCTCAAGAAGTCCACGGGGAGGTTCCAATAAATCCCCACACTTTTACTGAAACATAGGGAAAGGGGGATTGACTTGACTGCCACTTACTTTGACTTGATCTATTACTTTGACCACGAGTGCTATTGTATTTGTAAACATTTTAATACTTGACATTTGCTAAATGCACGGCTAGTGCGAAGCCATTTAGATAAAAAAAAGAAAGAATCATCGCACAGTTTCTATCACAGAGTACCTTATTATAACTGGAAATGCATAGATGATACCTGATTTTAAAAGTTACTCTTGTGCATTTACTTTAAAAGCAGGCAACTATCTGTTAATCTACATGCTCTATATACCTGAATCTAATACATAACTTGGCTTGATTTCCCTAGTTTACTATATAACTTATTTGTTTTTTATTATTTTATTACCTATGTAACTATTTGCAAACATAACCTCAAAATTATTCAGTGTATATGGTTTATAGAAGTTCTCAGGGGAGTCCGTTAATAATATTCGTTTCTACACTAATTTATATATAATTTCGAATCTAGGAAACAATTTTTCATGATTGTTGGTCTTTAGGCCAAACATGTGTGGAAGCTGAGCAATCTCCTTTCATTTTATTTTTTAACTGTTCGGGCATTGCAAAGAATGTTATCATTTCATGACTTGGTCGTAGTCGGACATTGTCAAGAATGTCATCAGTTCATTACTAAGTCGAAGTTAAATGATAGCGTTTGTTAACTATCTACGAATACCTATCCTCTAAAGGAGACTATTTCACTGTTTGCCTGTGTTCTGACCGTGTGAAGCTTGAACCATTTATCAAGAATCGATAATTAAGCTCCAACATGAATCAGTACTTGCTGGACACATGCAACACTACGATATTCATCAAAATATACCTACATACCTGCCTTACGTAATGGCACCAGTGTCAGGGGTGCGACGGTGTTTCTTATAAATTAATAGTTCTAAGCATTCATTATACTGTTGACTGTGATGTGACTACACGATCAAGGTACTTACCCAATTAGTGAAAAGGTTTGGGGAGAATTTGAAATGTTAATTTGAATTATATTAATTATTAGGTATGTGTCTGATTCTATTTTTAAAACGGAAAAAGTCTAAAATTAGCTTGATAGATAATATAGGTACGTTATAATAAATTCATCACATTCTGTCTGCGAAGAGCTGTACTCACGTTACGCTACGCCACTGTAAATACAAGATTTACTAAATGTATCCTGTAATCATTCATACATATAAGTAGGTAGTTAGTACTTATTACCTACAAAATTTCAATCGAAAATAAACTTTTTTTTTCTATTAATTATGATTTCGTTATGTGATGTTTCCTTGTATATACTTACCATAAATTCATAAATTAAATATTATTAACAAAACATGAAAAATGTTAGCTATGCTATGTACATATATGCATACAATTCATCAATTAACTTTTACCTAGTAATCCATGGATTAAACCATGTCATGAACTGATTAAGGTTAAACAAATTGACATTAAACATGGAAAAGACCAAATGTGTGTACTTTACAATGCGTAATAAATACGTACGTGGTGGTACAGAGAAAAAAATCCGGAGCTCCGATTTCATAATAATTGTACTTTGGGAGCCGATCACGACTATTCCTGCAAACCCCTACAACATGTTAAGGACATCAAATTTTAAATTATTATTGACAATACCATGAGTTTTAAATTACACGTTCAGGTCTTGGGTAGCAGCCAGTAGGGTTAGGAAGCTGTTGGCTACCATTAAGTTGCTGCGTCATATCCTTGAGCCGTCTATACTAAAGCGTATTTATATAGCTTTATGTCAATCAATATTGACATATGGTATTACAGTATGCGGTGGAATTCCAAAAACAAGTTTAATGAGTGTGGAAGTCGCGCAAAGAGCTGTACCCTAGCACGAACCATTATCGAATTCTAATAGTCTGCAAACCGAAATGTCAATGTCAAATTTTGTATGGAAACTTGAACAGCAGCGGCACAAAGTACGTAACGAGAACTAAAAATCAGTACACATTTGACAATGACATTTCGGACTCGCAAACGATACGAATTCGATATTGGTTCGTGCTAAGGGTACTGTACTAAAGGTGTGTACATTTAATCCCTACCTGTATCCAACCACTCTCCTATATCAGTATTGTGAGGTCCTTAGCGTAAGGAAGCTCTTTATTTTGGCTATCATAATTAAAAAACACGGTGAAATCACTTATGACCCAACAGTAATGCAAAAACATAGAAAGGGCATTGTTTCTAAATATCATCGAAATTATAGAACGGTCTACGTTCAACGTACATATGGCTTTTTGGGGATTCATATTTATAATAAAATCAGTAGATGCATTGCCATAGTACATCTCAATAAAAATAGAATTAAAATAGAGGTCACAAATTACTATGTAAAAACTGAGGATTTATGCCACCACACGGTCCTATAATAATAATTATAAAGATACACCCTCATATATATGTATACGATAAAATACACACACACATATTTATGTACACACATACAAACACATAGACACACTCACGTCCACGCACCCACATATACTCACAAACACACATACATATAAATAAGTAAATAAACGTATTGTAATTTTGAATAACGTTAGGTGATTTTTATTTTTTCTTGTTTATTATTTGTATTGGCTTTTTTTTGTATCTGAAAATAGGGGAAGGGGGCTGAAGCCAAAACACAGGATGAACTTCCTAGTTTGGCATGTAAGAAGATGTCATTTAATATTTGATGTAAAATTAGCCTTAGTGTAAATAGTCTTATAAGAATATTACCATGTAAGTACGTGTAATTTATTGCAAATAAAAATTATTATTATTATTATTAATCATCTGGATTGATTGATCTCATCTAAACTTTGTTTTAAAATGATCGTCTCAGTGGCGCACCATAGTAACACAATACTTCTTAATATAAATTTTAGAAATATACAAAATATGCATATTACTCTCTTTGGAGGCAGACGTAGGCTCAGCAGTGGGCATCGTATGACTAAATTAGGTACTTATAATGATGCCTACAAAGATTGTAAACTTATTTTAATTCTTCCTCAGATTCCGAACCATCTTCGGTATGAAGACGTCTGCTCCGGACATGAGGAAGAGTCCATGGACAAGCAGTACCCATACGGAAGACACGAGAGTGTCCGCCTCCGCGGACGACCCCAGTTTGCGATTGAAGGAGATACGTTGATTGAGGTATGCTGAAGTTTTACATAAGTAGACGATGTGGGTTCGAATCCCTTTTAAAACCTTGGATCGAGTAGATTTTTTCAAGTAAAATTTGCTTGAGATTATAATAGCTTTATTTAGTAAAATTGTAAGACATCCAATATTTATATAGGTGCCCAATAAGGATAGGTACGAAGTTATAAGTAAATTTTCTTAATTTGTTAATTCCGCGCACCTACGCTTTTATTAGAATTTTAGAATAATCCTTCTTATTTCTTATACAGGCTCTGTAATTAAAGCAGAGGCTCATTATCACACTAATAATATAAAGGCGAAAGTTTGTGAGTGTGTTGAGTGTATGTTTGTTACGTCTTCACGTCTAAACGGCTGAAGCGATTTTAATAAAATTTAGTATGCAGTTAGCTGAAACCCTGAATTAACACATAGGCTACGTTTTACCGCGGGAAAAGATCCCTAACAAACCGCGGGTAACACCGCGGGGCACAGCTAGTAATAAATAAATAAATTATCAGTACTTATTTGAATGAAAATCATCAAAATTAATTATTTCTTTCAGTTCCTGTCTGGTGACAAACGGGGAAGAAGAATTCTCATGAAGACATTTTGTAACTAGGCGAATTATACGGATTCTAGTCCTTATTGCTTAAACGTTTATATTTTGTACAATACATGCCACAAATACTAATAGACGTCGCCATGTATTTATAAATAATATAAATACATGGCGACGTCTACATATCCGAAAGAAACATTACTTACTTAGTAGGTACGGGTAATCGGTTATTATTTCTGATATTTGTATGAAAAGGTGCGACCAATGGTCTAAAATATTTCATAATATGGTATCGCATTCACTCAGTTCTATGTTAAATTAAAAATGCATAAGTAGAGTAAGTAGCAATGCATTGAGAATTCATCTTAGTCTCTCAAATTAAATTTCCTTTTTTTACACTTGTTAAATAACTTTTTATTTGTATTCTAAAGTATCGAATTGGTATTGCGCACTATACTGAACATCGTCGCTCGTTTCGATGTCTCGCTCGGCCTTATTTACTTAAAGTGCAGCAGCGGAATTTTGTCAAAGGGATCTTAATAAAAATACTAATGAAATTAATATGCAGAAAACGGAGGAAATCCCGTAATTACTAAATTCACATTTGAAGGTTCTTCCAAATTCCTTCGTTAAATTTGAAATCATTATTATCCTCATCTCAAACATCCTTAACTCTTTTGATTTAATATCTATCCTTTCTCAACAGTGAAAGTCAAGGGTCTAACTAAATTATGTACCTACAAAATTTTAGGAAAATACCTACTAAGAACTTCAGAATTGACTTCGGTTTGTTTTAATTGCCTGTCACATAATTGTCAAACAGGTTAGGTACAACTTCTTCTAAAATATTAAAATTATTACTTTTAGCATTTTGTAGTAGTAAGTATTAGCATTTAAGAAGCTACGACAAGATTTTTATCATCATCAACAGCCCATTTTAGTCCACTGCTGGACATAGGCCTCTCCAAATGCACGCCACTCAGATCGATTAAAGAAAATTCTACTTTTAATACTGATTAGTTAGATTTTTTTAGGGTTTACTGCAATTTCCACTAATGCAACAGGGGTGATGACGGGGTACAGTAAACGAAATTCTATTTAGTCAGTCAGTTAGATGATCAAAAAATAATGGCCACGTATTTTTTCTTTGCGCAATCAACCATGACAAAGTTATAGCGCGTCAAAGTAGGGGCTCGTGACGTCACTTTTAAGTGAAAATTGTATCAAAACGTGACGTCATGCGACTTTTCAAATCAATATATCTCTGCAATGTTTATATTATTTGAATAAAGAAAAAATACGTGTCCAATACTTTTTGATAATCTACCTGATAAACGCAGAAAAAAAATAGTCATCATCCCTATTTTGTGAAATTAATAAGGGGAGAAAACAGCTACTTATATCACAATAACAAAAAAATCTATTAGGTAGGTACCTACTATACTCGATCACGCAATTTACTCTTTATTTTAATATAAGTTTTTTATTTAAAAGTAGGTAATAGTACAAATTTGGATAAGTAAAGTCATTATTTAGATTTATAAGTTAACTATTACAAAGAAGCATCAGCTAATAATGTACCTATTAAGCAATTTAAGCATACACGCTTGAGTTTTTTCCGCAGTCACGAAATGTTTCATTTTGCTCATGTACGAGTACCTTTCGATTATTTTTATGAAATTTGCTTAACAAAGATAAAACCAAATATATCTAATTTAAAAGAGAAATATAGTTTATGCTGCTTCATATCTAGAGATTATTAATAAAATACTTTTATGTTACCTATATTGTTCATAAAATGCTTAGAATCAAAATTTTGATGTATATGAGAAATCTAAAAATCTCGAGTCTTCGAAACCAGAAAATTGTATGTGTTTTATTATGAGTAGGCAGTAAGAGCATAATATTGGAATAGCTTATTATGAAGCTTCATGTTTTAATCTAAGTTATTAAGTAAAAAAGTCATTGCCTGTGGTTATTGTGCCTTTACTTACCGTGAAGTGTAGCTATCAGTCATTTTTTACATAAGAAATTAAGTTGATTGTAATTAGTATAGATTTGAATAGTGTATGAAAATAAATCGCTTCTTCCTCGTGGTCAAACTGTGAAGTCGAAGTAGTTTGTCCAACAGGATTATTTTTTCCAGATGGGCAAATCGTCCACGTGGTAGAAAAAAGTTTGGACAAATTTATTTTTACTAAACTTTTGACCACGTGGACGATTTGACCATCTGTAAATATTATTCCTATCCCTATTACCTATGTATAATCAATTTATACCAACATAGTGCAACCTATTCAATGTAGCAAAATGAATAGGTTCTACTTATAAAACTTAAGATGATTATTACTTGATATTATCTACTTTTTTCTCTACCCACCTTTTCGGTCGCGAACTCGCGAGCGCCCGTGTCCTCGAGGATTGCCGGATTTTTTACGAAATCAAATAAATAGGTATTATTGTTTGGAGTTTTATAAACATAAGGAAGAGTATCAGATAGAACTACAAAGGCGGATAAATGAAAGGTATGTAATAACAAAAAGTAAGGATTATTGTATTTTATACAGAGCTTCAACGAAATCGAAAATACGAACTAATCATGGAGTGGCTAAGGCTATGAGAGGCAAAATTTACTACTTGCTTTTAACTAGTAAGGTAAATCTCACGTCTCGATTTATGGGATAAGCATTTTTTTTCTACATTTCATATCACCATTGTTGGTACACGATCAGCCAATAGTACTTATCATCAAAAATTCGTTCTAAGGTTTAATTGGACCAGTATTGGTACTAATTAATTTGAGAGGCGTGTATAATTTGTGCAGTGCTCTGTATTCATTTCCTTAGTTCTATAGCCTGCAGGAAAGAAATAAATGTAACTGCATTAAAGCTTTCAGCTATAAGTATTACAATTGTATACTCCTATCAGGCCCTGTTTGAACATCAGCGCTGATGCGACCATCGTCGCACTAGCTCATGCTGAGACAGGGTCATGGTTAACCTATATTTTTTAATGATTTATTATGAAATAGGGTTAATAAAGCCCTTATTTTGTAAAGTAAGTATGTTTCGGAAGTATCCAAATACGAAGATAGCTGTTGAATTATGTCGAATAATTAATAAGTTAACTAGATTGGTACGTTTTAATCGGTGTCGTATTTTGTAATTTGTTTTATTTGCCCTATTTAATAATATCTACCTATGGCATTTTATGGAGCAACATCGATAAATAAATATGTTCTAATTTCGTCTTTCAATAACAATGTCTAATCCTCATAAGTAATAATAATAATAATTCGTTTATTTCTCATCACAAACATTTTGGCATCGATAACAATTATTAAATGGTTGATAACATTAATGTTTGTGTGAGGCTGATGCCCGTGCTAGGTAAGATATACCTGTGTTAGGCCGTATACAGAAAGAAAGCCGAAAGCCGATCGGCGCCGATCGGCGCTTATCGGCGCCGATCCTTCCAACATACAGGAAGCCGATTAAAGCAGATCAAGCAAAATGTCGGACTCATCGGACGATGATTTGGTTTTGTTAGAAAATATTTATTTAAAAATGCGAAAAACAGCTATACATCCTATAAATAGAGGAAGGAAACGTTTCGGAGAATACCATCATTTATTTGTAAAAAAAATAAATTTGATGAACAAAGATTTTATACATATACAAGAATGATTCAAGAAACATTTTATTACATTTTGGATTTAGTGAAAAACCGTTTGATGAAAAATTGGGGCAATTGGCATAAACAACCAATCCTTCCAGAAGAAAGACTTGTTGTCACCATTCGGTAAGTACGAAACCAATAATTTTAGCGCTTAGTTAATAAAAGATAAAGTTATTAGATTTATAAAAAGATTATAACTTAGATTGATTTAATCTAAGGATAATAATTCAAATACAAATTATTTATTATTCGGACCAGCGCGTGTCGGCGCTTATCGGCGCTTATCGGCGCTTATCGGCGCCGATCGGCGCCGGTCCATAGAAAAAGGATCAGCGTCAATAGGCGCCGATCAGCGCCGATCGGCGCTTATCGGCGCCGATCGGCTTTCGGCTTTCTTTCTGTATACGGCCTTACAGGTCATCAGGCTCCCACCACCTCGAATTGCCAATGTTGGTTAACAAATAAGATGAATATGAATATTAATTTAAAAAAGTTTACTAATATTAATTGTCACAGGTTACATAAAAGAGTATGTTTGAATGAAAGTCTATGCAGTTTGTGTGTGTATTTGGTGTGAGTGTGAGTGTGCGTGCTTGTGTGTGTAAACGTGAGCGATACTATAATTATGTGTGTGGATGAGTAAGAGTAGTAATACAGACAGCTGATATTTTTGCGGTTTATTATCCTGCGATGATCAATAGGTCGTCTGTTCCGTCATATGTTAGCTGCAGCTTATGTAGCCATGAGCTTAGTTTTCGTTTACAGTCCCTGTTGGTCATTGAATAGAAGGAAAGGATTGTGTTCAATTTATTGTAAAGGTACGGTATGGTAGCTACCCATAAAGCAAAAGAATCTCTTTATGAGTTTAGTTTTTAAAGGACGGGTAGGAAGTTCCCTTTCGTCGTCTATCATTTAGAGCTTTTCCATCAAAATGACAGATTCAGACAGAGTGCTTACGGAGAACAGTTGATAATATATAGAGCTGACGGACAGTAAGCATCTCCCAAGTCCCGTAAACTTTACTCGTGGAATGAAGAATTGGGAGTGAAGCACCAACCTTCAGTACAAGCCTTTGCGCTCTTTCCACTTTGATCAGATGTTTCTTTGCAGCTCCTCCCCATGATTAAATACAATAACTTAACATTGATTGGCATAAGGCGAGATAAACTGATTTCATAATTTTAAGGTCCGCAACATGACGAAGAGTTTTAAAAATGTAAATGAACCTCCTTACTCTACCAGCCAGGAGCTCAATATGGGGATAAAAGTTGAGCGCTGAATCAATCATAACACAGAGATATTTAATACTATCTGTCTTTAGGAGTTTAGAGCAAGCGCAGTTATTGTTAGATTAGTAAGAGTGAACCATCAAAGAGAGATCATCATGTTGAGTCTGCCGCCCAGAGGAAAAGGTAATGAACTTGGTATTTGTGACATTCAGGGTTAATAGGTGCCCCGACAACCAGTTAGAAACCACATTCAGTCCTTCCTGTGCCCGATCAAAAACCTCTTTTAACAAATCAGCGTGAAACAGTAGAGCAGTGTCATCAGCGAACACTATTATTTTACCATTGGAAAGTTTTAATTGGCATAAATCATTAATATATATTAAAATCAACGTTGGTCCAAGAACAATGCCCTGAGGAACACCGAAAGTAACAGGTAGCTCTTCGCTAATCCATAGCCGATTCTAACAAGCTGTGATCGATTGCAAAGATAGTCAGAAAACAATCTAAGAGCCAAACCTCTGATTCCAATGGCTTCAAGTTTTTGAATCAGGATTGGGACAGAGACCGTGTCAAACGCTATCGCGAGATCAAGGAAAACTGCTATCACCGTTCTCTTCCCATCCAAGTTAGTGGTAACATAATCAGTCAGTTCATAAACAGCATCATCCGTTGATTTACCTGCACGAAATCGAAATTGTGAAGAAGATAATAATTTGTGAGATTCAAGGTAACAAATTAAGCGCTTGTTCATGGACGCTCCACAATCTTGGATAGGACACGCAGCAAAGAGATCGGTCTATAGTTGTTGACACAGTCCCTGGCACCACTCTGTTTAGAATATAATCTCTTGAGCACACGTTCACTCCAAGTGGCGTCCGAGGGGGAAGAGGATAAGTCAAAAGAACTGAAATAAAAAGATACAAAGGAATGTATTCCGAAACCGCTTTTCTTTTTCTTCAACTTTTAAACGACTTAACGAAGGTTGTCAATTCGTCAATGTTTGTTGTATTTTATACCTTTTAGATCAACGATATTATATATATACCCTAGATACACCACTTGCGCTCAAAATGTGTCCCTACCAAGAAGTGCTTGAACACGACTCAAGCACTTCTTGTTCCCCACTAACACACGCGGACCGTTGAAAAGTCTACATGCCGCTGAGCTCTGTGAAAAAATGCGAAATGAATACTTATAGTATGTAAAATGTCGTTTTTTTCGACAGATATCTCATCAATGTTTGTTAATTTAACGCATTTGAAACAAAATTTTGTTTTAATACTTACTATAAACTGGTTTAATAGAAAATATTTGTGATATTTAAATGCATGTTCGGTAATATAGCCATCTCTTTTCCTCGCAGTCCGTACCTGCTGTATTGCTAACAGCGCATTCAGAATTAAGAGCTTATACAGTGTGCTTTAAAGGTGATTTTCAATGTTTAAATAATGACTTATATTGTTTAGACTATGCGATTGCCGTGCCGGTCCAATGTATGTACCTTTTGGACAGGTTTCGAGCATGATTTTGTTCGTGTTAGTGTATCTAGGGTATTTAATATTGTTGTTTTTAGATGCTCTTTTTTATTTTTTTATTAAATCAGCTTTTTGGCGGGATCGTTCCTTAAGCCTCGATGACACGAAAATATTCAGCAGATCTTCACCAAATTAATATCGAAAGCCTAAATGACACGAGACGAGTTTACAAGCTACAAGCCAGCGAGTTCACTTGCAGCTTGTAAACTCGCCCTGGGTCATCGGCTTTTTTAACAGCTGCTACTCGCCTCGTGTCATATAGGCTTTCGGTATTAATTTGGTGAAGATCTGCTGAATATTTTCGCAGATAAATGCTAAGCGGCCATATTTAGGTCGCTGTCAAAAATCGGTAAAGTGCTGAGGGGCCGACATTCGGTTCCGCGCGACCCCTATATACTATGGAAAATATAATATTCATTCTTTTTGCTATCACCTACATTCTTATATCAATTTGTAGAGGAAAGAACAGGCTAGCTATCTAGTCATTGATTAAATCAACTGCCATATGAAATATTTATACTGTTGTCTGTGGAAGTTCGTCGTTCGCCGTTTTTTGTGTGAAAAAAAATATGCTGTGTATTCAGACTATTTAAAGTGTTATTCAGTGGTTTTTTTTAAAAAAAACACCATCCCTGGGCAAGTTAAATACATTAAGTTACTCTATTTTGATGTTTCGTTGGCGGGTTTACGTTTTTTTGTTAATATTTTTTTTGTTCGCGACCTCGAAAAAAAATACAATAAAAAAAAGGGTTTGTGGCTTATGTTTTCATGGTGATAATTTCGATAATAATTGTAATGTTTTAATTTATAGTTATTGAATAAATTATTCATGATTAATATTTCGAAAACAGAGAATCTCTTCAGTTAATATTTTTGAAGAAATAAAAAAAATACAAAAGCCGCGCAGTGTAACGGTCGTTCTAAATTCAAATATTCGAATGAAATATTTGATCATATTATTTTCTTGTATGCGAACTAGTGATTAGTTTTTGTTTATTCTAAAGCAAATTTAATGTACAATTTGAGAAAAGAAACTGTTTATCAATATTGAAAGTACTTTTCGTTTTATCGACATAAAACTGAGATGACTGATTTGTAGGCGATTTTAAAATGCCTTCTTGCAAGTTCTTAAAACTATAAAATAAAAAAGGACTTCTCATGCCACACTTGCTTCTATCGTGATGTTTACAATCTGAACTAACCGTAAACCCATAAATCATGGCTATTAGACTGCCCGTCTAATCGTTATCGCCTACCCGAAACCCGACACTTGTTTTTTATAACGCGTGTTTGTTTACGCATCTAGCGCGTGGATCTCACAAGCTATAGTGTAAAATTAAATAATAGAATGTAAGTAAGTTATAATAGAATGTGCAAATAACCAAAAAATCTGGACATGTTAAAATTTTGAAAATATACTCCATTTTACCCATCTAAACGCCTTTTTTTATCTTTCCCGAATTTACCGTAACGTAATTAAAATATATTATAGACATGACGCATTGTGTACACATTGTTTTATAGTAAATTTTATGGAGAATTCAAATATATATAGTTTGTGTAGGGTATTCTTACGAAATAACAGAGAAATCGGCAAAACAATGCAATCGTTCCCACCCAGCGGGGGGTTGACGGATGACGTAAGCACTTGACGTTAGAACGGCGCATGACCTTAGGGACGCGAGAGGATATGAAAATTCTCAATTACAAACGTTGTAAAATAAATGTAGAATGATTTTTTTTTTCCTCCTCCTGGGTTGCTTGCTGGCTTGGCTTTGGCGCAAGTTTGGCGCATTCAGTCTACAATCGTAGAAGTTATGCAACTGACCTGTCCTATTGGATGTGAGCCCAAAACCTTATTATCTCGAGCTCCCCCATGCTTCGGAGGGCAGGTTGAGTTGTTGGCCTCCGTACACTACCTCTAGATCTTATGTCATCGGTAATAGTTCATTACAAATTCGCCCGAACCGTCACAGCTGGCAAGGAGCGCATACCTCACGAGTTTTAGTGAGTGTTAGGCCGGGACTTCACCAAAGCAGAGATGTGTGCGGTGTGCTGGGCGATAGGAAATGTTTTTTAGCTTGAAATTTTTCAGTTCGGGTAAGAGGCATTGAGTGCTCAGTGGGGCTCTGCGGGTTGCTGGCGGGCGAGAGGGGGGAGGCTGACACCACTCACATCTTTCGTCTCCACTGCGCGTCGTCCGCGCACAGCTCACATCTCCGCTTCCATCGCGCCATACAAATATTACACGTCTCTGCACAGCGATCTCCACTGAAGCTGAGCCGAGAGGAGATGTGTCAATAACACAATAGGCTAGTTGACCCTTTTTGGAAAAAGGTTTTAAGTGGTTCATAAATGTTCTATTAGACCGAAAAAAAAATGTATTGTATTTTTTGAGGCCTAGAAAGCTACAAATCTTTAATTTTAAAATAGACTTTTCATGGACATACCAAAACGCTGTCGGCCATTTTAGTCTATAGATTATCTATGTTATGACGTCGTCGGTAGTAAACAAAAACTCGTAAGCACGTAGAAAATAACCTATCGGAGTTTATAATAAAAAAAAACATGATTTCTAATAAATACCACGAAAAATATAGTAATTATCATTATTGTATTGTACGAGAATGTTAAAACACATCCTTGAAGACTCCAGGAAAGTTGTGGATTAAAGTGCCGAAAGAAATAACCTACGCAATACCTGGTTAGAACTGCAACTATATCGACAAATAGTAAAATTTATTTTTGCGAAGATCACTTTGATGTAAGTACTCATTGAATAATATTTTAAGCCTCTTCATTTATTATCAGTTTTAAAATTATGTATGAATGACATTTAGTTGTTTACTAAAAGAGACGTCACAATCATGGCGGATGTGGCGAACAGCGTTTTTAGTGTTTATAAAGTATAGACTAAAAATTTTTTTTTTAATTAATTTTCTACAGCAGTCTTCTGCTTTTATGAAGTAAAATTGATATATTTAGGTTCCTTAGACCAAATACTTTAAGAAATAAACATTTATTTAATACAATTCGACATGAGTCAACTAGCCTATTCTATTGGTTGTTTATAAAACACCTCCTCTCCGCTCGTCTCGTCTCAACTTTGGTGGGGTCTTATCGTGGTAGATTGGCACAGTCCTGTCTAGACAATATGTTGATGATACGTTCATGTTTAATTTCATAGAAATCTACTCCCTCTGCACCATTTCTGCACTCCCGTCAGTCAAATGGAACATTGATTATGTATTTAGATTTTTGTACCGCTTCTGGACGACAAGGCTTTATGGGCACAATATACTCTGCCTTCCCTTTTTGGGAGAGTATAAAAAACAGAGCAAAATGTCATTGCACCAATTATCAACATAACCTCTAAATCTTGAAACTAATAAATATTCATATTAATCTTTTACCTTTAGCCGATAAAGTCCAATCCCAGATTTATATTAAAGTAATTATTTAATCCATAAATTATTCGCTTGGGTAATATGTAATTAACTTTGTATGTTTTTAGAGAATTTTCATCTCATCTCAAACAAGCATTTTACGTATTCATTATTTTGTCGCATTATGGAAAATAATATACTCATAATGTTAACGAAATATGCAAAGACCGTTTTGTTATTAATTCATTTGCAACGTTTAGATATATTCTTTTGATAAGATAACCTTTGGACTTAAAGTACAGATGTGTGTTTCAAGCGCCGTACAATTATTCGTTTTGTTGCTTTCTATAGTTACCTCATACATTTTTATAATGAACAGTGAATCAGGTAGGTGATTTTGATAATTACTAGCACGCTCTACAGAAAAACGATTTAAAATTTCATTCTTTGATTTTTTACAGAAATTCCAATGGCGAAAAATGGCATGCTATTTGTATCTACTGCCGCAAAGGCTCATAGTGTATGTCAAAAAGCATCCAAATATGTTCAGAATATGTTGTATATAAAAATTAAAGGAAACAATCATAATACATTACCAGTGTTAAGTAGAGAGATAGTGGAATTATATACTAAGGTAAATTACAGTTTACATTTTAATTAAGTAAATAAACATACTACATTATGTTTAGTTCATGACAATTACATGCATGATATTGATTTTTATCATAATCTGAATGTTATTATTCACTAAACAACTTTTTAAACCTGTTTGCAGGCTACATCACAATGTAGCAACTTGGATGTAAGATTGATGATAAAATTGACAGAAAAAGGGAACACCATAAAGACTAAATATCCTATTGATATTCTTATATATGATAGTGATCTGTCAAAAGATATAGATGATTTGAAAACATCAATAACCACACTTGGTCCAGAATACAGATTACAAAGTATTGGTGAGTTGGTCCCCTTTTTTGCCAAAATTTTGTTCTTAATCACCCACCCGACTCACGTTGCTAAGTGAGAGTTGGGGGTGCATCAGGGTTATTCCCATCATCAGCAGTAACCTGTGCAATGCAGGGCATGGACCTTCAATGTCTGGGCCCATAAAGTTTTTCAATAGAGCCTCAGTTTTCAATTGTGAAGTCCTGACATTCTGCAGTTATGCTAAGTTACCGCTAGAATGAAGCACTGGCCTGGATGTTTGTCCAGAAACATTATGGAAGTGAGAAAATTCTCAAGAAAAATTTGTCACTTGTATGAACTCAGGGGCATCCAATAAATATTCCACATCAATAGGAAAATAAATATTAAAGTGACCTTTGTGTGACCCATGTTTAATAAAAGTTTTATTTTAAATATTCGTAACTACTTTCAGATCTCAAAGATTCTATCTATCAAAGTGATTGTGATGATTTGGTGAAGACCTATGAGTATGTGGCATTGGGTGGCACATTTGATCGTCTTCACAACGGACATAAAATACTTTTATCACAAGCTGTACTGAGATCAACCAAGCATGTCCTTGTAGGAGTTACTGATGTAAATATGATTCAGTGTAAGGAATCACATCATTATTGTTAATGAAAGTCTTGAAATCTATATGTAATAGGATGATTTGACAATGGGGATGTCATTTCTCAATCATACTCAAAAAAGAGAGGAAAGGCATAGTGGATTTTCTGCTTGAATTTGAGTGCCTGTCTGGGGAATTAACCTTATTATAAATATTCTATTTATTAAAATTTCTATGCTAGGTTAGTGTTGAGACCACTACGAGCGATCCGAAAAAGAGTGGGCCGTGGCTATGTCTGTTGAAGCACCAGAAGAATATTTATTTTCGGTAAGATTGATTAAAGTCATCCCCATTGTCTAATAATCCGCATTTTCACAAAATCGATTCAAAATCGAATCGATTTATCAAATCATCCAACGAGTTAATAATGTTTATAGTATTAAGTGAAAAAATTACATTTATACTTAACTAATTTGATTTATAATTTGAAAACAGTCTAAACAAGATTTGTTCCATTTTCTCAACTTTGTTAGATATATGTTCATTATCAAAGTGTTTAATGTACAATGTTATTTAATTAATAGCGAAAAAATTGTGGGAACTTATAGAACCTGTAGAAAAGAGGATGGAAGCTGTATTGAATTTTTTGACTGACATAAATCCTGATCTGGAGTACAATGTGTTCCCGTTACAAGATTTATATGGACCTACTAAGGATGATCCTAAAATTCAGGTTTATAGTTTTGTTATTTATCAATTTAATGTATGTTATAAATTTACACTTGAAATAAAAAAACGGAATGTGCTGTTCATATGCGATAGAAGTGAAACCTACAAAAATGTGAACACGTAAAAGTCTTTCATGACTAAGTATGTCTTGGAGACAACACCTGTGTTAAAATTCAACTCTCTAGGTCAAAATGAAATATTGAAAACTATTTAAATTGTTTCGAAAAATGAATAATAGCTGAATAAAAGAAAAAAGTTAAAATGTGCATTATGTTTGAAGACATTATTAAAATAAATATAATTAAATGAAACATTAATATACTATTTAATTTAAGTTATATTTTTCTCAAACAAAAATAATTTTAATTACTTAGACATCAAGTTTTATAAATGTACTTACGATCGCACGCTCCATATTAGGAATTTAAAAAAAAACAATTTTAAAGGTTAGATAATTTAAAGCACGCATGCTTATTATGCTAGTCTTGCTACAAAAGCACTGCCGTAATCGTATAAGAAAATGCTTAAGTTTTCGATAGATGGCAGCTCTAACACGAATTAAAAAACAAATTTATTACATATTTTACAAAGATATATGTATGTAGCGATTAACGAGCAAGAAATACACTGTAATAAACATATTAGACGATATCCTTTAAATATACATTGTACAATATCATAAACAATATTATTATTTAAAATAAGTTAATTGAAACTTTGTGAAATTTATTTTTAAAGGAATCAGAAAAAACTACGATAAAATAATCATAATTTGATAAGTTGACCCGACCGGAGATCGAACCCGGTTTCCCGCGAGATTGCTAGGTTGATTGATTATGAAAAACATTGCCCTGCTTTTGCGATAGATGTAAAAATGATGAAAAAATTGTAGAAACGTATATTACGTACACGTATAAAAAACACCACGGTTGCTGTGATCCCTTATCTCAAATGACAATTGAGTGTCATAAAAGTTTTTCCAGTCAAACGTCCGAGGACACTTGAGCGTCCTGTGTGGGTGGTCCTGTTTTTTGCTCATTAGTACGCTTTAGAAAGCATCCTGCTTATCGCTGCTTGTGGTCTCTTTAGTTTAGGTAAAATATGTAGATTGCGCTGTGAATAAAAATGCAGGGCTCTCTGTATTTTAGATTTTTTTACTGAAGTACGCGCTCCGCAATAAATGTGACGTGTTGTTGTAGACGTTTCAACCGAATGACCCCAATTTTGTGGAAAACACTATTTTCTCATTATTTAATCTTAAAGTGATATATCCACATATTCCTCAAGATTTATCCGTGTCAGTAATGTGAAAAGATCATAGTTTTATTTGCGTAACAATTAAAACCTACAAAAATGTAAACACGTGAAAGCTAGCTATTTTTATTTTATTTCTTTTATTATGTTTTTCTTATCTGAGTTTTTTTCCAAATATTTATTTATGAAAAATTACAAACATAAGTAAAAAATTAAAAACATTCAAAATATGGGGATTGTTGATAAAAACCAAGCCTGTATTAATAAATAAGTTGGGCACCCACCAAACTTTTAATATTTAATTATTCAGGTAGTTGTTGTAGTACCCCAAGACCGTAACCGATGGGCTATCCGTCTCTTAAGGTAGATGATAAATAGGGTATTTGACAAGTTGTAGAAAACGATCTCACGTTATTGACTAATGTTTATCGAGTCTGTTAAAAGTGGATATTCATCATTCTGTTTTGTATTTCAGTAAAAATAACCTAATCAAAAACTCTATTTTCAAGTTGCCGCGAAAACGTTTTTCTGGACAATATGGGGTCTTACTAGAGTGTGACGTCACACGACTGTTACTTAAACGTCAAACTATACAATATAATGTCACTTTAACCGGAAGTTTACTTGCGTGTGACGTTAATTTAGGCTCCGCCAATGCCAAGCGTTTTGGGTCACGTGACAATAGATAAGAAAACTATTATCTTTTTCGTGGGTTTTAGTAAAATTTTGTATATTTTTTTTGTAAAAATTGTAAAAACTTCTGCTAATATTCATTCTAAACACAGATGCTAACACTTGGCACTTTATTTTTAATACTGTCAAATACCCTATTACGGATACCTATCTTGTGTCAAATACTTCCGTTTCATCGAATCTCAAATCACAACGGTGCTTAAGAAGTTTTCACTTCAAAAATCAGTTAATAACACACTTAACTAAAGAAATAGCAATACTAATACCAAGCTACAGTTCCTATTTCTCCCATGCAGATAGGCACAGGCAAATGAATTTTTAATATAATTTTCTAAGTCATCATATTTCTTTTAACATAATGCTTATTAACTTTAAACAGATGATAGTGGTCAGCGAGGAAACTCATAGAGGTGCAGTGAAAATTAATGAGAAGAGGGCAGAGAATGGACTGAAACCATTAGATACCCACGTGATCAGTCTTGCTCAAGACGCACAACCGCTTAAGCACGATGAAGAAGAAAAGAAAGTGAGCTCCAGCAACCAGAGGATGAGGTTACTGGGCACTCTTTTAAGACCTCCTGTGGTAAGCAGATTCATTGAATTGTTCATTATAGATCATTGAGTTGGGTAACGTATTTCGTGGTAAAAATACAAAAACTTTTACCCTTTGTAGTAATTTTATAGTCGATTCATATTTTCAGCCAAACCTCAACATTCCTGACTGGCCATATGTAATAGGTTTAGCAGGTGGCATTGCCAGTGGAAAAAGTAATATTGCAGAAAAATTAAAGTAAGTTGTTTTAAACTTCCATGGTCACTAATGCTATGGTAATTTATGTTATTTTAAGGAATGTTATCATGTACCTTGTTTAATACGAGTCCCCGATATTTCGGCATTTTTGCAAATGCCATGATCACGAAGTTACTGTAATAACATAAATTGCTATAAAGTAAGTTTGTGTTCAAAATTATTTTAATTTAATAACATAATACTTTATTGCTGAGATAGCAAAAGTCTATTAATGGATACAGAATTTAATTGAATTGTATCAAAAGTTAACGTTATTACAACTAACATAAACTAATTAAAAATCCTACCTTATATAACATTATCATTGAACTTATATCCCGATTTTATTATTTAAAAATTACTTAGATTGACTACCTCCGTGGCCGAGTGGCTCGAACGCCGGGTTTCAAGGTTTCGCCTACTCGAGAGGTCCTGGTTTCGAATGCCCGTGGGGACACAGATGTTTGTGTGGTGAATACGACCATTTGTATGTTGCCAAGCGATGCGGACTCGCCGTATCGCTCGCGCTGTGTTGAAGCGTATCTGTTCTGTCTCGCTCGCTCGATAGAATGTTTATTTACAGAAGTGGAAGTGCATGAGAGTTGCTTATGTAGTTGAGTCGGAGCATATTTTATTTGTTGCTAGTATTAGCGTACCGTATTCCCTTTTTGTTTTAATCTAAGAATAATTATAATTCATACTAAGATTAATATTATGAATGTTTAGGAGCAGCTCGATGACGCAAGTGGTTAGCGTTTAGGCTGCGATCGTTGAAGTTAAGCAACTATCGCAATGGTCGGTCAATAAATGGGTGACCAAAAATTTACTATCTCGAGCTCCTCTGCTTCGGAAGGCACGTTAAGCCGTTGGTCCCGGCAACTGCAGTCGTCAGCATCCACCAATCCGCAGTTCCGCACTGGACACGCGTGGCCCAATCTCCCTATTACATATACAGGGAAGGCCTGTGCCCCAGCAGTGGGAACATTAATAGGCTGATGATGGTGATGGTGGAATGTGAAGTTCTGTCTGTTTGTTACCTCTTCACACTTAAACCGCTGCATTTATTTCCTTGTAGAAAAAAAGGCGCTGGTTTGGTGAATTGCGACATAATTGCCCATGAGCTATACAGACCGGGCTTGGCGCTGAATAGTACACTGACTGAGGCGTTCGGCGAACACATACTCACCGATAACGGAGAGATCGACCGTAGGATTCTAGGCCAAATCGTATTTAGTGATAAGGTACAATTTCTTTTATCATTAGCAAACATTTTTAGTCACAGGTTAAGTTCAATCAGTCACTTACGTGCACAGTCTGATTAAATTTGATGTTTATCAAATCAAGCTGAATTTCCAGTCTAGCCAAAACAGTAACCCTTTCAAGGTCAGGCAGGACTTTTCTTGTAACCGAATGCAGCAGGGCCGGATTTAAGGCAGGGCAGGCGGGGCTGTGGCCCAGGGGTCCCCTACAAAGAGAAAAGCAATAATTAAATTTCGACTGATCATCAAACGTATGTGGCCCGGCTCTCCTGATATGAAAAATTGCCCCCACACCTCTAAATTCGACCCTGGAAAGCAGCTAAAATTACGCGACTCACAACTACAATTTATGCTCGTTTGGCACCTTTACACTTATTTTCTATCTTTATGAATATGTCTTATAAAAAATTCCCTTTGCTAGGGTCAATTGGAGAAGTTGAACAGCCTAGTGTGGCCCGCTGTGATAAACGAGGCTGAAAGGCAAGTTCGCGAATTGGGGGTTCAAGGACACAGGGTGGTAGTGATAGAAGCAGCTGTGATGGTGCGTGCCAGGTGGTACACCAGGTGCCATCAGCTGTGGGCCGTCATCATCCCACCCGGAGAGGTCAGTACACACATATCACAGGCTGGGGCACAGTTAGTGGGGATAGAAGCAGCTGTGATGATGTGCGCCAAGTGGCACATTAGGCGCAACCAGCTTCGGGCCGTCATCATCCCACACGGGGAGGTCAGTATTCACATATCACAGGCTGGGGCACAGGTGGTGGGGATAGAAGCAACTGTGATGGTGCGCGCCAGGTGGTACACCAGGTCCCACCAGCTGTGGGCCGTCATCATCCCTAACGGGGAGGTCAGTGTACACATATCACAGGTGGGGCACAGGTGGTAGGAATTTAAGCAGCTAGGATGGTGCGAGCCAGGTGGTAAACCAGGTGCCACCAGCTGTGGGCCGTCATAATCTCACCCGGGGAGATCAGTGTCCGCATATCACAGACTGGGGCACAGGTGGCGTGGATAGAAGCAGCTGTGATGATGCACGCCAGAAGGTAGGTATAGTGCCACCAGCTTTGGGCCGTCATCATCCCACCCGGGGCGGTCAGTGTCCGCATATCACAGGCTGGGACACAGGTGGCGGGGATAGAAGCAGCTGTGATTGAAATCGTTTGAGAGAATTTTTTGCGAAGATTTTGATGAATTTTGGAAAGAGATTGGATCTTGAATAAGGAAATAGACTTAATATTCGCACAAATCAGTATCAAATAAGGAATCAATGTTGTATAAATAAAAATTACCACAAGCCATCCATTGTTTCGTACATTTACATGATTGCTGAAGTCACTTTCTATTACATAATTTAGAATATAACAATATTTCAGGCTATAAAAAGGCTCGCGAAACGCAACAACCTTACCGAAGAGGAAGCAAGACAGCGTATAGAAGCTCAACCTTCAAACGTAGAACAAGTTGCACTCGCGAACATAGTGTTCAGCCCATACTGGAGTTACGAGTACACGCAAGCACAAATAGACCGCGCTTGGGATCATTTACAGGACTATTTGAATACCAGGAAGTAATGAGTTTGAACGTAAGTATGTATTTATTGAATTTCGGATGCATGAGCGGCGGGGGTCTTAATTCGAGAGATTCTACCTTAATGGTCATTTATAAACTTAAAATGACGTAACACCAAATAAATTAGAAGAAATGAAACTGTCTAATTTGACAGATTTTTATGGCAATAAGCAAAATGCCCACTTGATGAAACAACGTTATCGTCAAGTTTAAGAATTTTGAATTAACAATAATACTTATTCTAGATATTTCATCCAATGTCGCCATAACTTTAACTTCCAGCAGTGCTAGCCTTTCTCTTGCTCGGCGATAGCACAGCATGACAGTTTTAGCTATCATGTCATGCTGTGCTTTTGCCGAGCAGGGGGCGTACACTGTTTATTTCTACAAAATTATTTAATAGCAACCAAAATTCGGTACAATTTTACTGCTACTGTCTGTCGTCTACCGTTTGCGAGCCGGACGTTGAATTATATTTAGAGAAAAGCATATCTGTTTTACTGGTACCATTTCGTATGTAGGTATATAGTTTTATATTTATAATTGGGAGGCCGTTATAGAGTAGTTTGATATTTTAAAGTCCTTTAATTAGAGTAGCAGGTCCTAACATTTGCTTTATGTAAAAAAAAAAACGCTGTATATATCGTATTCTATTGAAGGACAAGACTGTATTTAATCATTGTAGCATTGGTACCCCATGTCCTAAAATAAAGATGTATATTTCTTGTCTTAATAATAAAATGTACAAAATTTTGAGTTTAAATCTGTCATTATATAAAATTTAAGTGCCATTAGTGTTAAATAAAATATGATCGTGATTAAGGATTGTTATTTAATTGTTATACAAGGTACAAGGTTATTGTTTTACTGTAGATTAAAATGTATACTAAAGATTTGTTTACTATCTTGAAGTAAAGACAATAATATTTACATTTAAACATAATTTATTTATTAGTTATGTTTTAGTGCACATTATTGGTAATTATATGGATTATTTTATAAAACTGAGTTTGATTGTTATGGTATTATCTATTTTGCTGTTAAAGCCGTGATTATAATAGGTACAATAATGGTCTTTATTGTTGCTGATAATAACAGCGCTAGGCTAAATTCTTATCTTCAACTCAGTACCTAGCTCAAACGTATATCGCTGCGCCCGCGCCGGCTAATTGAGTCAACTCAAAATTTCGCGAATGAAATGAAATGCACCGTTGAGCAGTGTCCTGTACGCACGTACAAAAACGAGTGAGTAATAAAAAAAAAATATATAAGTAAACACAAGTTGTTGTAATGAAATTCAGTGGCCAATTATTCGTAAACGTAAAAAAAATATAATATATTAAAATTAAAAGCAAATTTCGTGCAAAACCGTTGTGTGCGACATTGCGAAAACACTGCCAGAGCCGCATTATGCTTCCAAACGTTTTGAAGGATGGAATTAACACACCCAGCACTAGCGTAATTCATAGACAGTGATAGGTACATGCAAGGATATTAAAACTGTTGACTACATGGCTACATACAACATAGGTCGTCCAATTTCATCGCGAAGTCATTAAGCGGTAAAACACAATGGTTAGTCCGTTATTGTTGACCGCTTAGTCCCTAAGTTGTCGCTTAGATTATTTCATGGCGGCAAATAACCGCTCGTGATTAAAATAAAATATTCACGTTTGGACTTTATCACGACTTAACATCAGGTGGGGTAATGTAAATTGCTTACCTGACTATATAAAAAAAAACTGATGTGGTTTATTGATTTTTTTCATAATCTACATCAACTCTCGCCATCACTACTTAAACTGTACTTGATAAGTGCTAGTGATAAAACTGAACTTCCCCAACCGTTTTTCAACCTAATATGTGATTGACTTTAAAGTTGAAAATCAATTATAGGGGTTTTAACATCTTTTGGTAGCCTGGCGTGCTTGTATCCGTACGCAACGGTAAAAATAAAAGATAAGAACAAGTATATTGGAAGCAAAGACAGTGGATCCATTACGGATACCATTCCTAATGCTGCTACGTAATAAAGGTTCAATTTGTATCCACTAACCTTGCTCTAAACTGACGGCATATAGGAAGGAATATACAGGGTATCCCAAAATTTTGCCACATGCAGCGAAAGTCCCTTCAATACTCTCTAAATAAAAAAAATTGCTGAAAGATGACTTTATTTTAATTTTAAAAACAATATGGACTGCATTCAAAGCATTTAAAAACGGTCTGTCTGAAACGGTGTTCGAACCCACTAAATCATTACATATAATAAAATGTTAGAAAGCCAAAACTTTACATTTAATATTTTTTTAAAAGAATGCTTGGGGTGTGATCTACAATCGATACCGAAGCCAAAAATATAGTTTTTAAAATTTTTGTCTGTATGTATACAGATCCGTCCGGGATAAACTCAAAAAGTACTGCATGGATTTACTTCAAATTTGGCACGAATATTATTAAGAAGTCGGGTCAACATATAAGCTACGTATTATCACGCTATCACCTACGGGGAATGAGCAGTGAACAAGGGTCAAAAAGTATGTGCAAATAACCAACTCCACGCGTACGAAGTCGAGGGCGGCCGCTAGTTTGAAATAATGCAATATCTGACTTTTGAGCCTATTTTTGTCAAATAAAAGGACTGCGTGGTTACTCATAAAACTTCATGTGATTTGTACATAATATTCATATGTTGAGTTGAGCTAGTTAACAGGTACAACAAAAATATGTTTGAAATGTCGAAATTGACATTTAGTTGATGCCAATATTTAGTTACGTGTTACACCTACAGTAAGCAAAATGTTCGTAAGTGTAGTGTGAATCCCTTGTAATACTTTAAAATTATGATAAAGTATAAAGTCAGTTGTAATAAGCACAGGCAAAATTAATTATTCTGATCAAAATTTGAGAGAAACGATTAATTCACGATCTACTTTATATTGCTGATGTTATGTTGCTACGAAAAACATGACTAAGTCCTTCGATCAGTACAGTAAATTTATTTTTCACATTCAGCGGGTTCAACTCGCGGTTCAGACAGGCGAAATTTTTTAATGCAGCTTGTTGTGTTTTTGTGTGTTCAAAATAAAAAATTAAGTTTTCCTCCAGCAAAATTTTCTATCTACAATATTTAATTAAGGTATTTTCCTCGTTGTGGCAAGTTTTGGGACACTCTGTATATTGTATAAGTATTCTGACAGAAGAACGTCAATGACATTCAATCTTATTAGGGTCGAGTTTCAGCTAATAACTGAGTGCTATACTTACCTTATAAGCGTAGTAATAATAATTATGACGTATATTTTGTCCACCCATCACATAACTCTCAAGCAATTTACCAATATTATAACAATATCACTATAATCTACGGATCAGATTGGATTGAATATTGGGACACTACAAGTACTTATGGTAATTACATTCCAGAATTACATTGTGTGGGACACAAGTATTACAATCGCGATAGTGCTGTAGCCAAAACGTAATGACGACACTCTACTTCGCTTTGATTATTTTCAGATTGTCTTTTATATGTGGCTCTATCATTCCAAAAAATTATGATGTACAAAAAATGGACTTTATTGTAAGTACAAAATTATCTTAATTCATTAGCTGCTAAGATGTTCTGGTAGTAAATTAAATATGAATTACCTACATGACAGTCGGAAAACTAATGTATTGGACCAGGGTCGCCTCACAATTTTAGAGATACTGATTTCTATTAGAAATGCAAATATCATGGAGTATGAAGCGCGGCCAAGTGCAGACTGATGGGAGCTTACGAGTGCAAATGCAAGCGAGGCCAATGGCCTAACGTGCCTGCCGAAGCACGGAACCCTACATAGTTAATTTTTCGGTCGAAGTTGCTTATCTCTTACAACCACAAACTGAGGACGCTAGTCACTGCGCCATCGGGCTCCTCATATTTTGTGATGTAATGATCTTATCAAACTCAATTTATTTGATTATAACATAAAGGAAGAAATTACTAGTTAGCTTTAGAAATTACTCTCTAGATAGAGCGTCACCCTGTACACACTGCGATAAAAACAGACCAGGATCTCTACTCTCTTTCTCCGAAACAAAATTTCGGCAACGAACGAATTTTAAACGAAATTTCGCCAGTGACTCTACTCTATTTCATTTTCGAACACGCACATAAAGTTCGGAATCACAGACAGTTATCGTGAACGAATGGAATGAGTTATGTTAGTGAGTTCTTTTTGTCTACACTTTTTAGATAACGTTTTTTACTTCAAAACAATATTACTTTATGACATTTTTTTTATTAACATTAAAACAACCTCTTTCGACAGTGTTAGCCGATTAAATTCTAGAGTTGATGGAATCGAATGTATGTCAAACTAAAGGACACCCGGCATTTTGTGCCAAAGTTGTATACTTTTTTTATCTGTGTTTCATAATTGGGTAACGTAGTCTGGCAATATTTGTCATCAGCAGCTAGCTGTCAATGTCAAATACGTAGGTTTGTCATCAAAAGGGTTTCTATATCAAAAAATATTAATCATTAAATAACTTTTTTCCACGATTCACTAAAAATAAGGCAAAAGTAGTTTTATGTAGCAAATAATTTTGGCTTTATTTTGAGACCAAATTCAACTGTATACAAGTTTAGCATTTTTTCTATGAAAAGTGCCGGGTCTCCTTTCTCGTGTAACACTTTGAAATATTGGCAATACAATAATAAACAAGAATTTTATTTATTTGTAAATTTTTCATACTAAAAAATGTTCCTCACGCTAAGCAGTCTTAATTTAAAATACTCTAGTAGTAATTTTAGGTTTAATTTAAACAAAAATCCCAAAACGAAAATGAAAAGGTAACACTTTCGAACAATTATCTGTCAAATTCAACTTTTAGTTCAAAAGTTTAGTAGTTTAGTTTAAGTAAGAGCATTAGTATTAGGCTTGGAGAATTTAAATGTCAAACTATTTTCGGATGAACGAATTTTCAAAATGAAATAGAAACAGAGTAAGGAACGTGCGAAATTACGATTGAAATTTCATTTTGTTGTTGAAATAGAGTAGGCCTCCGGGTTTTATATACCAACTTGTGTGCGTGACACGCAAAACAAAACACGCGAACCTTGTATCTTTCAATCGCGGAATGTCAGCGAAATGACATTATTTTTGTCTCGAAATAATAATAAAAATTTACATATTCATATAAACAAAAAGAAACTTTCTCCGTGGCTCCGCTGCAATCGGTAAATATTTTGATTACGCCATTCTTACGTTTTTAGGGGAATTGTGTAATTACCACAGACATATAATACTATAGCAGACGGAACATAAAACCTAGTTATATTTATGAATCAAAACGTGATCTTTTATCCTTTTTGTACTCAGCTACAACTCGATAGTGGCATCTCATTCTTTCATCTATTGCAATACTGACTCACACATCAACAAATGTCGACGCGTGTCATTTTTATTCCTCGCCGCCATTTTATACATGACTTATCGGACATGCGACTTTTCGGTGTTTTTTAAGAATATTGCTTTGATAAAACTATATTACAAAACGAGATTATTCAATTACTATGGTCAAGGACAGTGCGTATCGATGTGAAAGTGCTACCTACAATAGAACACCAGGATTAACGTTTCATCAGTAAGTTTTTATGTGTCTTTGTTGTGTACTGATATGTCTTTGAGTCTTTTTGAAGCTTATTTAAATATTATCGTAACATGTAACATTTTTTACGTAGGATTATTTATCTAAGATACTACCGGTGAAAAGTAAAGAAATAGAAGTAATCAGTTTATATCATGATAGGAAATTCCAATTCTGACAACTGAAGTACTGTTGCCATAACAGAGGACGGACTCGGTATCAAAGACAAAAAGTTCCTCGGCATTAATTTTGTTTGCATTACATTGTATTTTGAATGTGAATGCAATCAAGAACGTAAATAGATAGGCACCTATTACAGACTAGCTATTCATATTTCTTGGAACATTGGCATCGGTAGGTATATAACCCAAATAACCACATAAACAATTTTGTTCTAGGTTTCCAAAGGATAAAAGTACTCGGAATGCATGGTTAAAATCTATGAAACGTCAGGATTGGCAACCAAATACTTATAGTGTTTTAAGTGTATTTTGATGGATGAGTGTGTGATTCATATGTCGATTATTCAATATTTGACTCGAACAATCCAGATCATGATATAAACCATTTCCACTTGCTTATTAAAGTTGTTGTCAAATTTTATTTTGATCTTAGATGTAAACATCAATGTTAAGAAACAAATGTATCTCAGAGAAATTTCTAAAAAAACTTGCATTATTTCAAAATAAATAGTTCTATCTCCGTGCTCAATTTCATCATTATCGGTTCAGCGATTTCGCCTGGCTAAATTCGCCATGAAGATATTAAACAGACAGATTTTTACATTTATAATAATATTATTAGCATGGACATCACATTAGGACCTATCTATTCGGATAGGTATTTCATGAAACAATAATGAAATCCATTATTCTACTATACTAAATGCGGCCCATGCTTTGGTAGAGTTTCAATGTGTGTGTATTTGCCACGCTGTTTAAAACTGAATATTCCGTCTGCTACTAGTTATATATCTGTGGTAATTGAAAAAAATGGCGTAATCAAAATATTTACCGATTGCTGCGGAGCCACGGAGAAAGTTTCTTTTTGGTTTATATGAATATGTGATGCCAGTGCATCAATTAAAAAATGTCAAGATGGAGTCGTAATTTTTTTAACTAATATCACGATATAGTTTCTATTTTTTAAGGTGAATAATGAGTTACTTACCGATGGTGAGTGACTTTTTTCGTTGTTTTTATACGTCTTTCATAATTTCGGCAAACTTTTGTCGCGCAACTCGGCATTTTCAATAAATAATTTCAACACGAGTCGGTAATTGTGTTGCCTTATCGGTCAGCGTTGCATCGAACACTAAGTGACAGGAAACTACTTTGACCCCACCAGGTGGGCGATACTTTTTTCAACGTCATCTGCGCTTCCACACTCTATCTAAAGACTAAATAAATAATCAAAGCTCTAATCATTATGGCAGTTGCAGTAGGCACCAACCACTTTAAAATTGACCTCCCGTTATAACGGTTTATTTCGAGATCAATATATAGTTATTTTCAATTTCAGATTGACATAATAATATCCAATTACAACCATAATGGATGGACAAACGTGATTACAATGGGGAGGTTACCTGATAGCTTTTACAAGATATCTGAGAACTTAAACGCTACCATTATAATCGCCAATGAAAACTATACCGACCATGAAGTAGATGAAATATTGCAACATAGAGCAAACACAATAGTCATGGACTGTGTGGACACCGATGATTTCGAAAAAAAGTTTTATATACTACGTAAACTTCCGTATTATCATCCCCAATCTCACATTATTCTTTATTACCACGGCGAATTGAGCAAACAAATGACAGCGAAAATCTTCTTCTACTTCTGGTACTATATGTGTCCGAATGTTATCATCATGACATATAACGACAGCGACGAAAAATTTGTGATCACCTACTTCAGCCCATACATCTACGAAAATTACAAGCTCGACCTAGAATTTGGCTGTCGGACACGAAGAAAAATGTCTTACCCGATAGAAAATTTAAATAAGAGCTTTATATGCACTGAAGGTTGCGCTAATGTAACTTCAACTTCAAAGACACTTCACTTGGGTACATGTATTGGAACACGAACATTCATTATAGGTTACAAAGATGAAGCATTAATAAGAGGTATCAATCTCTTCGAAGAAAAAGGTAAAAATCTGCACGGTTACAGTTTGAGATCGCTTTCTATACAAATAATACCTTTCCTGATGATAGATGAAAAATCTGACGGGACGTACGTACTTCGTGAGAGAGACGGTCGCATATGGAGTACAATGGCTGAATTGATGAATTTCACTATTGACCTTTCCCCTTGTGCAGCTTTCTTGAAAAACCCGTTTAATTTCGAATTGGTCATCAAACTAATATTCGATTTTTCCATGAGAAAAGCTGACCTGATGCTAATGCCCGTTTACCAGTTTAATTTTTTAGTGGTCGAAGTAGATATGACAGTGCCGTACAAAGCAAGCGGTGTCTGTTTCATGTCCCATCGTGCAGGCTTTGCAACTACTCTGTTTGACTTTCAATTGATGTACAGTAATTTTGAATTATTTATTGAAGCCTTCTTTTGTTTCATAGGCACTTGGTTCGTATATTTCATTTTTAATGTTTTCGAGAAGGGAACTATTAGTTTGGATCAGGTTGGAAAGGACTTTATCAACTCCATCAGGAATGTACTTTGTATACCCCTCTATAAGCCGCCAAAAAAAGAAAATTTTCGCATTTTCTTAGCGATATCAATATGGAGTTTTTTCATTATTAACTTCGCCACACAGGCAGCTATTATTTCGTTTTTTAGTGCGTACAAAAGGGCTAAAGATGTGGAGACTTTTGCAGATATCATCGAAAAAGGTTACGTAATAGAAGGCGTCGCTTCCCCTGATGTGATGCTTCCAGAAATTAACGAAATAAATAATCAAATCAATTCTAGAGTGGTCCCCGTACGTGATATGTTTGAATGTGTTAATAAAATTGGTATCGACAGTCGCAGATTTTGTTTAAACGATTGTTCAGTTGGTCGATACTTGCAAAGAAATCTATTGAACGACAAGGGAGAACAATATTTGCACATAGCTAAAGATCAAATACACAATCATTACTTAATCATGTTACTACAGAAAAATTCTCCACTGACAGCCCATTATAATAAACATATGCTGAGAATAATACAAGCAGGACTAATTGATAAGTGGGAAGAATATCGCTTCCACGACATAACAGATGAAGTTCCAGTGAAGTCACTGAGTATGGACGATCTTTTGGGCGTTTTCAAATGTTACTGTTTATTGGTAGGTTTATCTGTAGTAATTTTTGTCATTGAAGTTGTATTAGGTTATGGCAAATCAGCGAAACTGACTTTAAAGGTGAAATTCTTACATTGGCGTAGAACACGTGCTGCGAAAAAAATAGATGATATGGATAGAAGATTAGGAACAATTAAAACAGTTCACGGTTGCACTCAGACTGATTAAAATAAATATGTACTCACATGTAATGCAACTAATAGTCCGAGAGCCGGCCGTATAAAAGTCCTATGGATCAGATACATGAATCATTTTTGGGGTATGTGTAGCGGTCGACACGCCGGAAGTTGCTTGATTTTGCCCGCAACCAAAAATATGACGTCAATTCCGGTTATTATTTTAGGTTTAATTGTAATCTATGAAATACATCAAGAAAATTTATGACTGAAAGTTTTTGACGAGTAGAATAGAAATGTCAAGGGTCGACAAGCTCTATTTATTCGCTACCCTGAGTCGAGCACCAATTAAGTTTTTTTTTTATTTATTTTAAGCCATCGTATACATGGATTTGTTTACGATTGCCAGATCTAGTTTCTATATCGACATGACGTTCTCGCAAAAGGAGGAAGCCGCCTCACATGCCGTCTCGCTACGGAGCATGGCCTTTACCATGCCCCGCAGCAGAGAGCAGAGAGTGTTCCGCCTCCCAGCGCCGCGATCAGGTCGCAGTGCTGCTGTCGCCAGGCCGAGCACTCCAACAAGGAGTGCTCGGCCGTATCGTCCGGGGCATCGCAGTGATGACACTGCGGCGTTTCTTCCCGGTGAGCGATACGGTAGTAACCGAAGCATCCGCGTCCGATCAGTACCTGCACCATACCACCATGGAACGAGAGGCAGTCGCGCCGGCGACCCACCCACTCCTCCAACACCAGACGAATGGCCTCAATAGTCCAGCCGGTAAGGCCAGCACTTACTTGGGCGAGTGCCTCATCCTATCTCCGCAAGGTCTCTGCTTGCGCGATTGAACGGACTTGCCGAAGCACAGCACACAAGCTGCGGCAGGTCTTTCACCCCTATCCCTGGCTTTGACCGAACCTCGATGCACGTCTGCCAGGAATTGCGCATCGAAATCCCACGGCGTCACACCCGTGAGTACGCAGGCGGCGCCGTGGCTGACCGTTGAGGCGTTTGAGGCACTCTGCCCAAACCGGGGCACCATAAAGTGCCATCGACCGTATCACCCCGTTATACAGTCGTTCCAGAGCAGTGGACCCTGCACTGAACCCTGGGGTACCCCTGCGGCCATGGCCCGAGAGCATACGCTTCTATCGGGCCCCTCGTAGAAGACTGACCTCCCCTGCAGTTAGGCCTCCACGATGGCTTGCAGGTATGGAGGCACGCAGTGCTATACACACAATACACTCGTGGGGGAGACTGTTAAAGGCGTTGCGGATGTCCAGCGACACCGCATTAGCAGTCTCTCCCAGACAAGCGGCCACCTCGGTCCACCCCTTCAAATGGGCCACCTCTCCACCGTGGACCGGTTTCGCCGGAACCCGAACTCGTGCTCTGACAAATTCGGATCCGGCCCCTCCAGGTGCTCGATGATACGCTTCGTCAGGATTCTTTCAAAGAACTTCCCGGCGTCATCGAGCACCAATGCTACCGCGGCCCTGATGGCCGTGTCGAATTCTTTCTAGCTCTTGAAACATAACAGTTTCATTTGATGTCGGTTGTTATGAATGCAAAGTACTCGTTTATTCTGCCATTAATTACAAAACTCCCATCAGGTATTCGTAAGTAGGTACTCTAGATCAAGTTTTTCATCTGTTTCTTTTTTTTCATTAATTTTAGCGTTACCACAAAACTAACATGTATAATAATATCAGAAGATAATTTATGAGCTTTACTAAATTATCATATGACTTTTGTTAGAATTCAAGATCAAATATCTTTGTTTCGAAATTAGTTAGGGAATTACTACTTTGCTAACAACAATTTACATATACTATCAAACAATCATAAACAGTTCAGTGGCCGCTGTAAAAAAAAAATTAAGCCATCCTCCATACAAAATTACCCAATCCCCTTTATATTAAAGTTGTTACATTTACTAAACTTTTGCATGGGAGCTTTATATTGGTTTCTTGATTTCACGGATAAAGGTTCTCAAAATTCCTGCTTAAGTACTTAGTCTCTTTTAATTGACGACCTCCGTGGTCGAGTGGTTTATACGCCGGGTTTCATGGCGTCGCCGACTCGAGAGGTCCCGGGTTCGAATCCCGGTGGGGGCAGATGTTTGTGTGATGAATACGAGCATTTGTACTCCAGTCATGGATGTTTAATATGTATTTCATATAAATATACTTATATATGTACAATATATGTATTCTATCCGTTACCCTAGTATCCCATAACACAAGCCTTTACAGTGCTTACTTTGGGGCTAGGCTAATTGGTGTGTGTTGGGAAAAAAAAAAAAATCTGGCGGTGTCAATAAGTCTTCATTATCAGTAATATACGCAGCGCCGTCTCGAGTAGATAGAAATCAGGCAGCGTGATGTTCGTACGGAGTTGCAATCACTGGACGTCCGGAAAGCTAGTGGACCTGATGGCATCCCAGCAGTTGTTCTAAAACATTGTGCAGCGGAGTTGTCTCCCGTGCTTACGCGCCTGTACCAACTCTCTTACTCTTTGGGGCGTGTGCCGGAAGCTTGGAGAGACGCCAATGTGCAACCGGTGCCAAAAAAAGGGGACCGCTCAGACCCGGCCAACTACCGGCCGATAGCTGTCACCTCAGTGTTGTGTAAAGTCTTAGAAAGGGTCCTTAACAACCATCTGACCCGCTACCTAGAAGATTACTCTCTGATACACGATCGTCAATATTCATGGATTTAGGCCGAATCGATCGACGGGTGACCTTCTAGCGTACGTGACACACGTCTGGGGTGAAGCTATAGACAAGCGGGGAGAGTCTCTGGCTATTAGCCTTGACATCGCCAAGGCTTTTGACAGGGTCTGGCATAAAAGCCTTCTCTCCAAGCTGCCTGCCTACGGTCTGCCTGCTCAGCTCTGCGCCTGGGTAGCTGACTTCCTGCATGAGCGTAGAATTCCCGTCCTTACTCCCGGATGTAGTTCGAAGTTCATGTCAGTGAATGCCGGTGTTCCTCAGGGCTCCGTTCTATCCCTCACACTCTTTCTGCTGCATATCATTGATTTGATTCCACTTGCGAATATTCATTGCTATGCAGACGATAGCACAGTGCATGCGAGATACTTTGGACACGCGGCGGCTGGACAGGTAGAAACCATGGAGAAACGAGAGAATCTTGTCGTTGAGCTCAATAGGGCTTTGGACCACATTTCCGAATGGGGTACCAGGAACTTGGTTGAGTTCAATGCCAAGAAAACTCAGGCTTGCGCTTTTACGGCAAAAACATCGCCATTCCTTCCCCTTCCCTCTCTTCAGGGCACAACACTGGCGTTACAGAGCTATATTACCATGCTCGGAGGTTCGCTCAGACCTGAATCCAAAGGACTACATCGAGACCTTGATCAAATCAGCTTCACGCAAACTCGGAGTCCTGAACAAGGGCGTTTTTTCACGCCCGATCAACTGTGCTTGTTGTACAAAACGCAAGTGCGGTCCTGCGTGGAATATTGCTCGCACCTCTGGGATGGCTCCGCTAAGTACTTACCCGATGCCTTGGATAGGTTGCAGCGGCGCGCTGCCCGCATCATTGGCGATGAAGAGGTAACTAAGAAACTCGAGTCTCTACAATTACGCTGTGATGTGGCATCATTAAGCGCATTCTACCGACTATACCACGGCGAGTGTTCTGAGGAGTTATTCTCGCTTATCCCTCCATCACCTTTTCTTCAGAGGACCACGCGCGCTGGCCTACGTTGCCACCAACTTACTGTGGCCACTATTCCTACACGAACAAAGAAGTTTGGCGACTCATTTCTTTGTCGTACTATTCGTAAGTGGAATTCTTTGCCCGCGCACGTGTTCCCTCCTTCCTATAATCTGGGGTCCTTTAAGAGAGGCGTGATGAAGCATTTTTACGGGCCGGCTAGGTGAGGATGGTTGATGTAGCAGTTTATAACTGCTGTACCAGCTATCTTCGCGTTTGGACTTTATTACCACTTAACATCAGGTGGGGTAAAGTCATTTGCCTACCTAATTATAAAAAAAAAACAAATTAAAAACTCAGTTAAAATAAAATAATCAGCTTTTTACTTTTGTTTTTATTTCAAAAATAATTCAGAAAGCAAACTGTAGGTATGCAATCCCATTCATCATTTGTTTGTTTGTAGTAAATAAATTATTAGTTTTCAATTGAATGTAGTTCCACAATGCTATTAAATAGGGTTTGGATGTCAAAATAAGAAAACTTTAGACAGCTCAATATTATTACGTATTAAAATGTTTCAAAATCAACAGAAATTTTTTCAAATGTATTGTCATTAGGCCTCGAAGTACAATAATTGGCCCCCATGTATATCAGTGATTGTCACTCTGGATATTTTTTGATTCTATTGTATTTACCTAAATATAATGACCTGTGCTGACGATGGACTTGTCCCTCAATCTTGAAAAAAATATCCACCGAGGACGGAGAAGGAAGTAAATCTTCTCAGATTACGTTGTGTTGTTATTAACATGAAGTTTAAGAAAAAGAGGTTTAAAAAGAGAATACTGAATCTATCTCTTTAAATCGGATCAAGCGTGCAACGAGGGCTAAAGTTCGCTGTGTGCGTTCCTGTGCTTGGTCACATTACTTCTATTTAGGAACGAAGTTCATTTTCATACGGTATGCCGGATAAAGGGCAGGGGCTAAGCTAAAATTTACCGTCATTAACTAGCGGGGCAAATAGCTAGGCAACTAGTTAGCTGTGTAGTTACACAGCTAGCTGGGCGGGTAACTAAATAGGCAGCGAGGTTGCCCATGGTTGCTTGATTTAAAATTGTGGCCCCTTTCCACACGGGGTCCATTCCGCACTGGACCTGTTCCTGCACTGAGCCTATCCTCACTGGGAACATGCCGTACTGGGCTCATTCCGCATTGGTACCATTCCGCACTCGGTGCATTCCATACTGGTACCATTCCGAACAAGGAAATAGAAAAGTAACCACTCCGTTTATAGTGGTTTACAAGGTTCCAACTCAGGAGTTTCAGGAAACGGAGTGGTAACTTTTTCTACGACTGATCGAACTAGTGCCGCCTAGCCTTCGTTGCAAATCTGACGTACTTGAACTGCTTATCCGCTTACGTAAGGTGGACGCCTGTTTGACGGTAAGCCGAAAGGCGAGTCAGTATTGATCCCTTTCCGAATTAATATGTATCATCATCATCATTTAACCTCAAATACTTATAATATATTGAAAAATTACTAGCAAAGTCACACACGCTCCCTCCACATACACACACACACACACACACACGCGCGCACCCAAACACCACACTCACAAATTCACAACCATATGTCCTATCATGGAAAATCATAGAATATATGGTTGCTCTACTTTTGAAGTAAAAACTTCTTTAGCGGCGTTGTGCACTTTTTTGTATGGGTAAAAAATGTTAAACTCGCGTCAGGCTCAGGACAAGTGGACACGTGACCTAATCGAAAATTCGTAAGACGAAAACAATAAAATTGGAGAGGTTGTTGACTTTAAATATATTGGACGAAACATAGTAATATTTTATCTTATATTATAATAATAAGTCTAGGACGTCTAGGACGTCCAGATGACAGCTTTATTGCGAAGAAAATACATTTTATTACACTATTATAAAAACATCTATATGTCAATAGGTGCGCTTAAATGTGATTCACGTAAGTTGATTTTTCTGAGAGATA